CCATTCATGCATCAAAACTTTCAAAGACTCATGTGCAGTGAAACAGACTTTCCTGTAAACTTAGCAACACATTTAATTTTTGTTGACCTAGTGTTTGCTTCTTGTCACGCCCAGGAGGTATCCTGATAATTCCTGTCAGCCTTGCATTTGTGTGTGTGTGTGTGTGTGTAAGAATGGGTTGATACAATGACGGGGAAACACAGTGGCCTTTGATGAAATTAAGAGACTAAGAAGCACAGGAGGTTTTCCTTATTTTTGAGACGGAGTGTTGCTCTGTTGCCCAGGCTGGAGTGCAATGGTGCAATCTGTGTGCTGCAACCTCCACCTTCACGGGAAGTTTTCTAAGACAGCTTTGCCATGAAACTGGCCCTGCCCGTATCAGCCCTGTGACATTGTCAGGACTAGTTTCCCTAGGATGAGATCACATTTAAAGGACAACACCACAGTCATGAATTCCAGGTTTTTCCACAGTTTTATCTTGGATTCCTTCATAATTACCGAACATTTCGAAGATCCCTTTTTCTTACATTCCAGACTAATTTTCTGGAAAGTTATTTCACCTGAAATGGCTTGTTGTCCTGAGGTGCTTCTGGGTAATAGGATGTCTTAAGAACAATCGGGCTCCAAACTAAGCACCATACTCAAAGCAGGGTAGTCATGCTACAAGGACAGGGACATAGACTTAATCCTGATGCAGCTGTAATATCGCCACTTAATACAACCTTACCTTTAGAAAGTGAGTGGGGGATGGAATCGGCTTTCATCAGGTGAAGTGATTAAATGTCCTCAGGCATCTGATCCTTTATTTGTTTGCCTTGAAAGTTCAGCCTGGGCAGGAGGACAGGAGAGCTGACCTAAGGAGAGCGAGGCCTCCTGGAGTGTTACTTTCATGCCATGCTCTAAGAGCTCTGTAAAATTGCAGCTCTGTGTGGCCACTCAGAGGCAAATGCTGAAGAATTACCATGAATCCGAGTTCAAGTCCATAGTAAATGTCAAGTACTATGAATTGTTGGCCCATGAGTTTTCATCAGATGTGGGAGTCTCCTCCCCGCCCCCCATAAGAAACTATGTAAGCTTTGCTAAGTGTGGGCAGTGTGACTGCAGAGTTTATTTCACATTGAAACAAAAAGAGGCACCAGTTCTTGCAGAATTCCAGAACAACGTGACCTGGAACAAATCCACTACCCGTATGAATATTTAAGCGGCCTGGCATACATTTTTTTAAAATACCCGGCTGCTCCGTTTTGCTGTTTTACATTCTTTTTAGATTCTTTGTGTCAGTGTGTAATATTTCAGGATGCCATTACATTGTCCTCAATTAAATCTCCAAAGAGTGTTTGTGTTATGAGGTGCCTTAAGAAATGAGGGGATTTTTTGTAATACTGTGTACAAGTTGGAATTTTTCTTTATGCCAAGGTGGACAACAACACAGCACTGGTTGACAAATTGAAGCGATTCCAGCAGGAGAATGAAGAATTGAAAGCTCGGATGGACAAGCACATGGCCATTTCAAGGTGAGAATGAAGCAGTCCTGTTTCCCCTGAGCTCCCCGCTCCCTAGCACGTCCAGTGTTACTTTCTGTCCAGGCTCTACCCATGTACCTCCTGGGAAGAGGAGGGAAGCAGATGTTATTAAAGGGGCACTGATTTCTGTCTGGAAAATGTGATTGTAGTATTTGACGCGTTTACCAAAGTGGCCTGGACCGAACATTGAGACCCAGGCCCACAAGCCTTCTCCCGGGCCTCTGGCTGCCTCTGAGAATGCTTTCAGACATAGAAATAGCCCCCACCGTAACACAGTCATAAAACGTATTGAATATTTGCAAAAGTGCCACTCAGCCTCCTATGAAATTGCCCAAAAAGTACATTTTTTTTTTGAGATGGAGTTTCGCTCGTTACCCAGGCTGGAGTGCAATGGTGTGATCCTGGCTCACCACAACCTCCACCTCCTGGGTTCAGGCAATTCTCCTGCCTCAGCCTCCTGAGTAGCCAGGATCACAGGCACGCACCACCATGCCCAGCTACTTTTTTGTATCTTTAGTAGAGACGGGGTTTCAACATGTTGACCAGGATGGTCTCGATCTCTTGACCTCATGATCCACCCGCCTCGGCCTCCCAAAGGGCTGGGATCACAGGCGTGAGCCACGGCGCCCGGCCGAAAAGTACAATTTTTTTTTTAATATGAGGTCTCTGTTGCCCACGCCAGAGTGCTGTGGTGATCTTAGCTTACTGCAACCTCTGCCTCCCGGGCTCAAGCAATCCTTCCACCTCAGCTTCCTGCATAGCTGGGACTACAGGCGCATGTCACCATGCCTGGCTAATTTTTGTGGTTTTAATAGAGATGGAATTTCACCATGCTGCCCAAGTTGGTCTCAATATCCTGGCCTCATGTTGTCCACCCACCTCAGCTTCCCAGAGTTCCAGGATTATGGGCACGAGCCACTGTGCCAGGTCTGTATTTGGGTTTCCTGGCCAGCCAAATACCTGTCACCTTGTGCAGGATTCTGTTTTGTCCCAAAGGAATGAATTTGGACTTTCAGATTTCAAATGCTGAGACACTTTTTTCAAGTAATTATTTTACAGAGATGTACATGGTTTCCGGCTTTTTTCTTCAAGGCAACTTTCCACAGAGCAGGCGGTTCTGCAAGAGTCATTGGAGAAAGAGTCAAAAGTCAATAAGCGACTCTCCATGGAAAATGAGGAGCTTCTGTGGAAGCTGCACAATGGGGACCTGTGCAGCCCCAAGAGATCTCCCACCTCTTCGGCCATCCCTTTCCAGTCACCACGGAATTCTGGCTCTTTCCCCAGCCCCAGCATTTCACCCAGATGACGCTTCCTCAAAGTCAACAGACTCTCTGAAAGCATTTTGATACAGGTCTGCAGGACTGACCCCAGCGAGGAACGTGGACACAGAGCTCTATCAGCGCACGTGTGATCACCGTAGGGTAACTGGAGCCATCACAGCTGCCGGAATCGGCAGCTTCTGAGACTGGAACTCTGGAGGAAGACTTTTGTCTCAGTCCAAAAGATTCCTCCACACACAGATTTCAGCACCGACACACGGACGTTGTTGCACAAAGCACTTAAAGAACGAGAGAATCTTGTTCATTGCCTTTTTCACCTAAGCATAGGGGGAAAAACTCTCAGGGGCCTATTCAGATGAAGATTTCTAACCTTTGTAATGTTCTTCACCACAGACACCTTTGTGAGTTTTTAGTCTGACTTTGGGGTGGGGAATGTGTGTGAATGAAATGGATGTCAGAGTGTCGTGTGTCTGATGCAGCCTTCTTTGCTGTGTATTAAATGTCAAAATCTGAATATATCTGGATATGTACTAATCAAATAGTAGTCAGTATATACATTTCAGCCAAAGCCATAGAAAAAAAAGCAATAGTTGCTTGCATTATGATCATCTACCACCAACTCTGCTCCGCCCTGTCACGTGGTAGGGAGAGGGTATAACAGGAAAAACTTCGACTTGTCACTGTACATTCTCTGTATCTTTTGGGGGTAACTTCTTGGCAGTTTCGGTGTTCAGCCATGTCAGTTGAAACTAGCTAGATTTTTCTGTAGATTTTGTACTTAACCACGGGAGCCTAACACTGTCCTGTAATCCATTTTCTCAGGCTATGTGTAAATGTAGAACCCGAATTTTTCTATAAAAAAACTGTATAAAGAAAAAGGGCAGTACCAATGGGTTTTTCTGCCTTATTTTTACCTTGATCTGAACTGTCCTTGCAGATTTAACCTGTCTTCTTCTCTCCCATTATTCTCATTTTCCTTTTACCTTTCTCCACCATCCAGAGCCACGAAAGCAAACCACCTACCTCCTACCTCCTTTTCTGTGGGCCAAGGATAAAGGAATATGCTTTTCCAGAGCTAGCTCATCTTCCAGGTGCTCAAACCACTTTCCAAATAAACTGAAGCCTGGACTTGATACTACAAATGTTGGGAAATGTTAGAATAAAGAACAAGAAAGAGGAAATCATTGGCTAGTAGAATTAGAAAGGTAGGATTCGGTGCTTACCGACTAGAAGCACCTTGATTAAACTGATGTCGCAGCATTTGATAGAAGAAACAGTCTGAACATGCTCATTTCTCAGGGACCCTCTGAGGAGTCCCTATCTTTGGGAAGGTAGCAAAATGGCCAGCTGACGAGCGGAAGATGTGGCTTGTCCAACTCTCTTCCAAGTTGCATTTCAGTTTCTTTCCAAAACTTATTAACTCCCCTGATTTTGAGACTTTGGAAAAGGTGGAAGGAAAAATTGTGGCTTTATATCCCCCTCCCTGCATGTGTCAACACTGTGATGTCAGTATTTACTAATCTACATTCAGTGGCTGTACAAATAACCACTGTAGTAAGAAGATTCAGGATACTAGAGGTGGATTTTTGAGTCATTTACATGTATACTACATAGCAAGTTGATATTCATGATGCATGTTCTTTTAAATTAGTGATTATGTGTCTTAAGTCTAACTTCCAATAGTTATCATGTATGTAATACCTTCCATATTTGCTTCTGATAAATGGAAATGTTAGATTCACTGTCACCTCCTGGGATATCTGTGCTCACGCTTCCAAGTTGTTCTCAATGACATTAGCCAAAGTTGGGTTTGCCATTCATCCCTTACGCGTGGTAAATCTTGTGTTGTTCCCTGCTGTCCTCCGTAGTATGTGACTGGGAAATAAATCTTACAGCAGTTAATAAAAAAAAAAAGTCTTTGGAGGATGGGAGAGAACAGGGGAGAAGATAGGAAACATAATAGAGAATTTTTGAGATTTCGTTTAAACCAAATGTTTTATGTAGGATGCAACATGTTGGCACGTCAGAAATACGGATGTGTAGACAACTGTAGTTGTGCTCAGTTTGTAGTGATGGAAAGTGTATTTTACTTTGATCAAATAAATAATGCTGGAATACTCAAGAATTGCATCCTCTGACATACCTCACTCTTCCCAGTGTCACCAAGCGCACAGCCTTTTTAACAGCACAGGAACGATCACGTCTCCTCTTAGTTTATTTTCCAGGAATTTCCACTGCAACCACAGAATAGGTCATGGCCCGAAACTTGGCTCATGGAGCTACAGGTAGAGCTAAGCTTTTCTTTTCTCAATTCAAAGCTGTATTTGAGAGAGAAACTTGGCTGGTTTTAATAATTTTTGCTGTATAAGAAAATTGGAGAAACCTGGTAAATATTTTTGACTATGATAAAAAAATGTCTAAACAAAGTTGAATGTTCTTAATATATGCATCTATTTTATGTTGAAAGCTAAACCTCTAAAAACAGGTTCTAGTTATTGAATAGACCAATCTAGAAGTAGCACCCTTGAGTGCAGCAGTTTAAGAAAAAGAAAAAAGCACACGATTTTCCTCAGTACTTTGATCAGTTATCTCACATTTGCTTTAAAGTTGCTACTGAGACACAAATGACATTTCTAAGCATTTGAATCTGGAGTTGCCGTTTACGGATAAGTAATCAAACTAGTACATTTTAAAATTCTCCTGTATTGTGGTGGTTTATGACAGAGAACACTCGGTGTTGACCCAGGTGTCCCCACCACCGAGCCTTTCTGTGCTCATTTAATAGAAGTGATTATATAGAATTGTTTACACATATATAAAAACTAGGAACACATATCTAGGTAAGCAATCAAAATGCATGCTTTCTGTTAGAAACGTTAACACGTCTGTGAATAGACTGGATGACTTCCTCTTAGTTTGGATGTCTGGGTCGGGCTCACAGGACGCTGGGGTTTGGTGCTGGACATCAGCCTCTGGCAAAGCACTAATCAAAAGAACCCCAAAGCTGATAGTGTATACAAACGGGCTTTCCGTAAGTTCATGACATTTGCTTTTCCAACTCAGGAAAACTCAACAGTGGTAGCTACTGTGGTCTGTCCTTGAAGATTCTGAGCAGTGCAAATGTAATATCCTGCATCAATGGTCTCAAAGTCTTCCACTGTAATGACACTCTGGGAGATTCTCGTGGTGTGTCCCAGTCCTCTGTGGATCAGCCTCCAAGTGTCTTGGATCGTCACAGGCCTTTCATCCTGTTTAACGACACCCACAGAGACTGAAGCACGAGGGTCAAGCTGCTATAAACAGCTCCCATTCACCCAACACTGTTGAGGGTTCCTTTCAAAGGGCAAAGCACATGCTTACAAAAGACTGTTTAGTATGCGCAGCTCATAAGCTGTGGAAGCTTCTACACTGAAATCACTTTAGGCAAACAGAGCCTTGAATTTCATTATGTTGTTTGGTGCTGTCTTTCTGCCCTTTTCTTCTCTAAGTTTCTACTTAAGCTAAACTTTATGCTTTTAAAACACCAAGAAAGTGGAACTGGTATTAAGCAGCAACAGGGACAAAATTTTCCACTGGCCACGCTTTTCACATTGCCCACTTTCCTTTCCTAGGTAAGTAGTTTTTATTTACAGAACTGAAAGAAGCCTGAAAAAAACCCACTGTAAAAGCTCCCAATTGCCCAGATTTGGAAGAGGGAGAAGTATGAATAGGCTAACGTGCCCTAGGACTCTACTGGGAGAAAAGCTGTACCAAGGATGGGTAAGATAATGTACTAGATGACATGATCTCTATTTCTGGAACGTGAAATGGTCACTTTTGAGATGTCCAGCCAACTCTGGTAATGAGAACATAGTATTTTCCGAATTAGTTTAACAGAACTAATATATTACTAAGTGAATACCTTTTCTTATAAAATACTACATAGCAATGTAGAAAGAAAACACCTCTATTGAAAATCATCAATGTCATGTAAGTATGACCAACACTTTTGATAATCAAGCACCTAGTACCAAGATGTTGGAAAACACTGTTCCCCAGAGAGTGTTATTTTCCACCAATCACAGCCTGTAAGCCAGAAGGACGTCAGCTACTGAATGTGTGTTGAGAGGCCAAATCTATTCTGGCAACAAAGGGATTATTCCATGCTGGTAGCGGAGCTGTTACTTTAGCAAGCAGATCATGCACAAGGGCTAAATATGCTGCAATTGCTTTGATGAGAAGTCTATTTTAAAATGATCTCTGGCCTCACAGCACCTTTTTGGCAGGGTCGGTTTCTATGCGCACTTGGTGGATGCCTGCTCAGAGCCGCCTGCCGTGGGCACAGCTTGTTTAGAGAACACTCTAGCCAAGTGAAACACGGGGGTAGAAGGAAGCAGCAGAAAGAGCCCTGTGGGCACACTTGGTCCCCAGGGAAGCCACTTCTGACTTTGTCTCACAGAGGTCCTTGGGAAGGGCTACCAGAGAAACTGGGAAAAGACCACAGGGAGAAGGAAACTTCTAGCTCAACTCTCTAAAAGTTTTGACTGAACACAAAGTTCCTGTACAGAACTCGGGTGAGGGGATGAAGCGGGAGTGCAGACACAACACAGAAGCCATGGCAAGTAGGGAGATGTGGAACCTGAAAGCCCTGTTTGCTTTCCTACCCAGGAGGCTGGTAGCCTGGGGCAGATTCTCAACCCTACTCACCCACTGCCTAGAAACAAACTCAGTGCTGTGGGTGGGGACAGAGGGAGTAAGACCATCCATTTGGGCTACATAGGACCTGGGTGAGGCCTGTAACTGCTGGCTTTCCCCCACTTACCTGGTGACGTGCATGACACAGCAGAGCAGCCATAATCCAGAGCAGAACATAACTCCATTGGCCTGAGAACCACACCCCCATCCCCAACAGCAGCCATAGCGACCTACCCAAGGAGAGTCTGAGCTCGGACATGCCTAGCCTCGCCCCCACCTAATGGTCTTTACCTACCCAGATAGCCAAAGACAAAGGACATAATCTGTGGGAGCTCTAGGGTCCTGCTCACCACCTGATCATCCCTATACTACCAAAGCTGATGCTCTCTTTAAAGTGCCACCTCCTGGCAGGAGACCAACCAACACAAAACTAGTACAATAAACAAAACTACAGCTAAGAACCCTCACAGAGTCCATTTCACTCCCCTGCCACCAACATCATAGCAGGTGCTGGTATCCATGGCTGAGAGACCTGAGACATCACAGGACTCTGTGCAGGCACCACCCGGTACTAGCCCAGAGTCCAGCAACTCTGCTGGGTGGCTAGATACAGAAAAAAAAAAAAATAACAATCACTGCAGTTTGGCTCTCAGAAAGCCACACACATAGAAGGGGAAGAGCATTACATCAAGAGAGCACCCCATGGGACGAAAGAATCTGAACAGCGGCCCTCGAGCCCCAGATCTTCCGTCTAACACAGTCTACCCAAATGAGAAGGAACCAGAAAAACAATTCTGGTAATATTTCAAAACAAGGTTCTTTAACACCCACAAAAGATCACACTAGCTCACCAGCAACTGATCCAAACCCGAAGAAAGCCCTGAATTGCCAGAAAAATAATTCAGAAGATCAGTTATTAAGCTAGTCAAGGAGGCATCAGAGAAAGAGGAACTCCAACTTAATTAAATTTTCTTTTCTTTTCTTTCTTTCTTTCTTTTTTAATTTTTGAGACGGAGTTTCACTCTTGTTACCCAGGCTGGAGTGCAATGTCGCAATCTCGGCTCACCGCAACCTCCGCCTCCTGGGTTCAGGCAATTCTCCTGTCTCAGCCTCCTGAGTAGCTGGGATTACAGGCACGTGCCACCATGCCCAGATAATTTTTTGTATTTTTAGTAGAGACGGGGTTTCGCCATGTTGACCAGGATGGTCTCGATCTCTTGACCTCCTGATCCACCCACCTCGGCCTCCCAAAGTGCTGGGATTATAGGCTTGAGCCACCGCGCCCGGCCTAATTAAATTTTAAAAAGACACAAGATATGAAGGGAAAAATCTTCAGTGAAATAGCAAAAATAGGAAACAATCACAGTTTCCGGAAATGAAGGACACACTTAGAGAAATGCAAAATACACTGGAAAGTCTCAGCAACAGAATTGAACAAGCAGAAAAAAGAACTTCAGAGCTCAAACATAAGATTTTTTAATTAACCCAATCAAACAAAGACAAAGAAAAAAGAATTTAGAAGACTGAACAAAGCCTCCAAGAAGTTTGGGATTATATTAAACAACCAAACCTAAGAATAATTGGTGTTCCTGAGGAAGAAGAGAAATCTAAATGTTTGGAAAACATATTTGTGGGAATAATCAAGGAAAACTTCCGCAGCCTTGCTAGAGAGCTAGCCATCCAAATACAAAAAGCTCAAAGAACACCTGGGAAATTCATCAGAAAAAGATCATCACGTAGACACATAGTGATCAGGGTATCTAAAGTCAAGAGGAAGGAAAGATGTAAGAGCTGAGGCAAAAGCACCAGGTAACCAAAAAGGAAAATGTATCAGATTAACAGCATATTCCTCAGCAGAAACCCTACAAGCTAGAAGAAATTGAGGCCCTATCTTCAGCCTCCTTAATCAAAACAATTATCAGCCAAGCATTTTGTGTCCAGAGAAACTAAGCTTCATAAATGAAGGAAAGAGAGTCTTTTTCAGGCAAATGCTGAGAGAATTCAGCAGTACCAATGCAGCACTACAAGAAATGCTAAAAGGAGCTCTAAATCTTGAAACAAATCATTGAAATATAGCAAAATAGAACCCCCTTAAAGCATAAATCTCACAGGACCTATAAAACAAAACAAATTAAAAAATAAAAACCAAGGTATTCAGGCAACAAATAGCATGATGAATAGAATAGTATCTCACATCTCAATACTAACATTGAATGTAAATAGCCTAAATGCTCCACTTAAAAGATACAGGATGGTAGAATGAATAAAAAGTCACCAACCAAGTATCTGCTGTTTTCAGGAGACTCATCTAAAACATAAGACTCAAAATCTTAATATAAAGGAGTGGAAAAAGGTATTCCATACAAAGGCACACCAAAAATGAGCAAGAATAGCTTTTCTTCTCTTTTCTTTTTTTTGTCTCACTCTGTTGCCCACACTGGAACATAATGGCGTGATCTCCATTCATTGCAACCTCCGCTTCCTGCGTTCAAGCAATTCTCGTGCCTCAGCCTCCTGAGTAGCTGGGTTTTCAGACACAAGCCTGTCTTATATAGGAGTAGCTATTCTTATATAAGACAGAACAAACTTTAAAGGAACAGGAATTTAAAAAGACAAAGAGGAACATTATATGATGATAAAAGGACTTGTCCAATAGGAAAATATCACAATGCTATTTACATATATGCACCTAACACTGAAGCTCCCAGATTTATAAAGCAATTACTGCTGGACCTAAGAAATGAGACAGACTGCAACACAATAATAGTGGGAACTTTAATACTCCACTGACAGCACTAGACAGGTCATCAAGACAGAACATCCACAAAGCAACAATGGATTTAAACTATAACCTAGAACAGATGGACTTAACAGCTATTTACAGAACATTCTATCTAATAACTACAGAATATACATTCTATTCACCAGTACATGGAACATTCTCCCAGATAGACCAGATGATGGGCCACAAAACAAGTCTCAATAAATTTAAGAAAAGTGAAATTGTATCAAGTGCTCTCAGACCGCACTGGAATAAACCTGAAAATTCCAAAAGGAACCCTCAACACATACAAATACATGAAAATTAAATAACCTGCTCCTGAATGATCCCTGGGTCAACAAGGAAATCATGATGGGAGTTAAAAAAAATTCTTTGAATATGCCTGTAATCCCAGCACTTTGGGAGGCCAAGGTAGGTGGATCACTTGAGGTCAGGAGTTCGAGACCAGCCTGACCAACATGGTGAAACCCCATCTCTACTAAAAAATACAAAAATTAGCCAGCCAAGGTGGCTGGCATCTGTAATCCCAGCTATGCGGGAGGTTGAGACAGGAGAATCGCTTGAACCCAGGAGGCGAAAGTTGCAGTGAGCTGAGATGCAATATTGCACTCCAGCCTGAGCAACAGAGCAAGACTCTGTCTCAAAAAAGAAATTCTTTGAGCTGAATGATAGTAGTAACAGAATGTATCAAAACTTCCGAGATACAGCAAAGGCAGTGCTAAGAGGAAAGTTCATAGCATTAAATGACTATATAAAAAAGCCTGAAAGAGCACAAATAGACAATCTAAAGCACACCTCAAGGACTAGAAAAACCAGTCCAAACCAAATTCAAACATAACAGAAGAAAAGAGACAAAGATCAGAGCAGAACTAAACGAAAAGATATAAGAAACGAAAAGCTGGTTCTTTGAAAAGATTTAAAAAAACTGATAGACCATTAGCGAAATTAACCAAGAAGATCCCAATAAGCTCAACTAGAAATGAAACAGGAGACATTACAACCAGTGTCAGAGAAATATAAAAGATCATTCAAAACTACTATGAATACCTTTACACACACAAGCTAGAAAACCTAGAGGAGATGGATAAACTTCTGGAAATACACAACCCTCCTAGATTAAACCAGGAAGAAATAGAAACTCTGAACAGACCAATAACAACCAGTGAGATTGAAATGGTAATAAAAAAAAATTGCCAATAAAAGTAAGTCCAGGACCAGATGGATTCACAATTGAATTCTATCACACATTCAAAGAACTGGTATCAATCCTATTGACACTGTTTCACAAGAGAGAGAAAGAGGGAATCCTTCCTAAATCATTCTGTGAAGCCAGTATCGCCCTAATATCAAAACCGGAGAAGGACATAACAAAAAAGAGAAACTACAGACCAACATTTCTGATGAATATAGATACAAAATCCTTAACAAAATACCAGCTAATCAAATCCAACAGTATATCAAAGAGAGTCCACCATGATCAAATGGGTTTCATACCAGGGTGGTTTAATATACACAAGTCATTAATGTGATATGCCACATAAACAGAATTAAAAACAAAAATCACATGATCGTTTCAACAGTCACAGAAAAAGCATTTGATAAAATCCAGCATCTCTTTATGATTAAAACCCTCAGCAAAATCAGCATAGAAGGAACATACCTTAAGGTAATAAAAATAGTCTATGACAAACCCACAGCCAACATTACACTGACTGCGGAAAAGTTGAAAGCGTTCCCTCTGAGAACTGAAACCAGACAAGGATGCCCACTTTCACCACTTTTATTCAACATAGTACTGGAAGTCCTAGCCAGACGAGATAAAGAAATAAAGGGCATCCAAATCAATAAAGAAGAGTCCAACTGTCACTGTTTGCTGATATGATCATATACCTAAAAAACCCCTAAAGACTCCTCCAAAAAGCTGCTAGAATGGATAAATTAATTCAGCAAAGTTTCAGGATACAAAATTAATGTACACAAATCAGTAGCTCTGCCATACACCAACAGTGACCAAGTTGAAAATCAAATCAGTAACTCAACTCCTTTTATAATGGCTTCAAAAAAAATAATAAATAAAGAAATACACCTAATCAAGGAGGTGAAAGACCTCTACAAAGAAAACTACAAAACACTGCTGAAAGAAAACATAGATGTCACAAACAAATGGGAACACATTGCATGCCCATACATGAGTAGAATCAATATTATGAAAACGATCATACTGACAAAAGCGATCCACAAATTGAATGCAATTCCCACCAAAATACCACCATTATTCTTCACAGAACTAGAAAAAAAAAAATCCTAAATGTTATATGGAACCAAAAAAGACTCTGCATAGCCAAAGCAAGACTAAGCAAAAAGAACAAATCTAGAGGCATCACATTACTTGACTTCAAACTATATAAGGCCACAGTCACCAAAACAGCATGGTATGGTATAAAAACAGCACAAAGAGCAGTGGAACCGAATAGAGGACCCAGAAATAAACCCAAATATTTACAACTGAACTTTGACAAAGCAAACAAAAACAGAAAATGGGTAAAGGACACCCTATTCAACAAATGGTGCTGGGATAATTGGCTAGCCACATGTAGGAGAATGAAACTGAATCCTCATCTTTCACCGTATACAAAAATCAACTCAAGATGGATCAAATACTTAAATCTAAGACCTGAAACCATAAAAATTCTAGAAGATCACATTGGAAAAAGCCTTTTAGACATTGGCTTAGGTAAGGACTTCAAAACCAAGAAACAAAAAGCAAATGCAACAAAAATAATGATAAATAGATAGGGCTTGATTAAACTAAAGAGCTTCTGCACAGCAAAAGAAATAACCAGCAGAGTAAACAGACAACCCATAGACTGGGAGAAAATTTTTGCAATCTATACATCTGACAAAGGACTAATATCCAGAATCTACAAGAAAATCAGGCAAATCAGCCAGAAAAAAAATCCCATAAAAAATTGGGCTAGGGACATTAATAAACAATTCTCAAACGTCCAAAAACATGAAAAAAATGCTCCACATCACTAATGATTAGGGAGATCCAAATCAAAACCACAGTGTGATACCACCTTACTCCTGCAAAAATGGTCATAATTTATGTTGGCATGGATGTGGTAAAAAGAGGACATTTCTCCACACTTCTGCACTGCTGGTGGGAATGTAAACTAGTACAACCACTACAGAAAACAGTGTGGAGATTCCTTAAAGAACTGAAAGTAAAACCACCATTTGATCCAGCAATCCCATTACTGGGTATCTAACCAGAGGAAAAGCCGTCATTATATGAAAAAAGACACTTGTACACATGTTTATAACAGTACAATTCACAAGTCCAAAAATATGGAACCAGCTGAAATGCCCATCAATCAATGAGAGGATAAAGAAATTGTGGTATATACCATGGAATATCACTCAGCCATAAAACAGAATGAAATAATGGCCTTTGCAGCAACCCAGATGGCAGTGGAGACCATTATTCTAAGTGAAGTAACTCACAAATAGAAAACCAAACATGGTATGTTCTCACTCATAACTGGGAGCTAAGCTATGAGGACACAAAGATAGAAGAATGATGCAATGAACTTTGGGGACTCTGGGAAAAGGGTGGGAGCTGGGTGAGGGATAGAAGCCTATACACTGGGTACAGTGTACACCACTAGGGTGATGAATACACCAAAATCTCAGAAATCATCTAAAGAACTTATTCGTGTAACCAAACACCTACTGTTCTCAAAAACCTACTGAAATTTAAAAATGACAAAATACATTAAAAACAAAGAGAACACTCTGAAGGACTCCAGGAGGTGGTTAGACTCTGGTTGACCCAGAAGATGGGACTGAAATTGAGGTGGGGGCAGGAGGAAAGAGAGGATTCTTCCTTTCCCTTTCCTCCTACTGTCCTTAAAAAAAAAAAATAAATAAAAATAAAACTTGTATTTTAGGCTCAGGGGTATACGTGCAAAAATTTGTTATATAACTAAACTCGTATCATGAAATGACAGATCATTTTATCACCCTGGTATTAATATTAGGCCTCAGTGCCCATCAATTATTTCTCCTGATCCTCTCCCTCCTCCCACCCTCCACCCTCAAGTAGGCCCCAGTGTGTGTTGTTCCCCTCTATGTGTCCATGTGTTCTTATCATTTAGCTCCCACTGATAAGTGAGAACGTGCGGTATTTGGTTTTCTGTTTCTGTGTTACTTTGCTAAGGATAATGGCCTCCAACTCTATTCATGTTCCCACAACCATTCTTTTTCATGGTTGCATAGTATTCCATGGTGTATATGTACTACATTTTCTTTATCCAGTCCACCATTGAAGAGCATTTAGGATGATTCCATGTCTTTGGTATTGTGAATGGTGCTGCAATGAGAATTACTGTCCCTTCTTGGTTAAGGGTTTTTTTTTCCAACCTGCCTATGAAGAGGGTACATTGAGCAAATTAACTAATGAAACTCCATCTTTCATTTCCTGTCCTTAAAAAAAATTCATTTTTAAATATACTGAAACATCTTCAAAGAAAACAAGAAAGCCCTACCGCCAACATAACCTCTCATGTTTCTTGCACTTCTTAAGTTATGGCCTCTATCACTGGGTGAGGACCAAACTGTGAATTAAAACCACCGGCTGAGACGCAGTTGCTGAGACGCAGGTGCCACACTCACCTTCTGCCCTGGGAAGATCCACCTGAATTCTACCTCCACATCAGGCTCCCCCAAGACAGTGCAGAGCACACTGACATCGTCCCCACTTCTCACTTTGTTTGAAGAGGCCAAGATGGTTGTTGAGGGAGGGCCGCTGGGAACTGGAAGCAAGCAGGAGACAGGGAGAGTGAGATGAGACCCTGATGTAACCTCGAAAACAAACCTACAGACGTGCTCTTTTCTATGGAGAGAAATGGACTTTTCTGCCTTCCTCACAGCTTCCTGATCAGCGCCAGGGCGGTGCGAGCCCGCCACTTAAGCCACCTTTACCTGTTGACCTTGGTGGTCTGGGAGGAGGCAAGCACCAGGACTTCCCGGGACAGCCTCCAAGCCTGTGATTAGATGAGGAGGCTCAGAGGGAATAAAGAGGGGAGGGGAAGAAGTCTCTAGGGAAAAAGTAAGCAGGAAGTACTGGGTGGTGGCAGCCACAGGGGTGGTGGGGGGCAGACAGGCGTGTGGCTGTCCATCTGCAGAAGGGGAGAAAGTCTAAATATACAGATGAGAAAGATGTTCGCATGCAGGGCACAAGTGCTACCTGGGTTTGCAGTGCCTTGCTTCCCCACGTTTCAGAAACACATGTCTTCATTATGCTGAGTTCACTCAACAAGCTGTCTATTTTTTTACTTAGCAGTGGGGTCTCTGTCCTCCAGGCTGAAATGCGGTGGTATCATCTTAGCTTGCTGCAGCCTCCAACTCCTGCAACTTGGAGGACAGTTCGAGCTATCCTCCCATCTCAGCCTTCTGAGGAGCTAGGATTACAGGTAAGAGCCACTGCACCTGGCTAACTTTTCCATGTTTTGGTCTACGTTGCCCAAGCTGATCTCCAATTCATGGCCTCAAGAAATCCTCATGCCTTGGCCTCCCACAGTGCTGGGATTACAGGTGTGTCAGTGAGCAATTTCAAGGCAGCCTTGAGCAAGGCTGTGCTAGTAGCTGGGCCTAGAGCAGGGAGAGACATGGACCTGATCTCTGAACCCTTGGAGCCTGTATTCTCTGGCCAGACACTTAGGGAGTCGCTGTATGGTTAATTTAAAATGCTGTGCTAAAAGCTATGAAGCAAAAGCCGAGCGTGCTCCAAAAGGCCAGATGAGAATCGTCTGAGAGCCAGCAAGGGCTTCCTCGAGGGAGCAATGTTTGAACTAAAATTTCAAGGCTCAGCTTCAAAGACATGGTCAGGAGAAGCAGGGAGGCACCAGCAGCCTGGGAATGCCCATGTGCATGGCTCCAGGTGAGAGGCGGTGGTGCAGTGGAGGAGGGCTGGGGAGGGGAGGGGAGGGTAGCAGGGGAGGGCTAGGGACGGGAGGGCTACAGGGGAGGGCTGGAGTGGGGAGGGGAGGGCAGTGGGGGAGGGCTGGGGAGGGAAGGGGAGGGCAGTGGGGGAGGGCTGGGGAGGGCAGTGGGGGAGGGCTGGAGAGGGAAGGGGAGGGCAGTGGGGGAGGGCTGGGGAGTGCAGAGGGCTAGGGAAGGGAAGGAGTGGAGAAGGGCTGGAGAAGGAAGGTAGTGGAGTAGGATTGGGGAGGGAAAGGTAGTTGGGGAGGGCTGGAAAGGGGAGGGTAGTGGAGGAGGGCTGAAGAAGGGAGGGAAAGGCAGTGTGGGAGGGCTGGGGAGGAGAGGGGAGGGCAGTAGGAGAGGGCTGGGGAGGGGAGCAGAGGGGAGAGCAGTGGAAGAAGATGGGGAGGGGAGGGGAGGGCAGTGTGGGAGGGCTGGGGAGGTGAGGGGAGGGCAGTGGGAGAGGGCTGGGGAGGGGAGGGCAGTGGAAGAGGGCTGGAGAGGAGGGGAAGGCAGTGGAGGAGGACTGAAGAGGGGAGGAGAAGGCAGTGGGGGAGGGTTGGGGAAGAAGGGGAGGGGAGGGCAATGGGGGAGGGCAGAGGAGTGGGGGAGGGCTAGGCAGGGGTGGGGAGGGCAGTGAGGGAGGGGAGGGGAGGGAAGAGTGAGACCTGGCTGGGGAGGAAGACAGAGATGAGTCCATGCAAGACCATTCAGGCCACACAGAGGATTTGGACTTTGGTTCTAGGGGGAACCTACCAAATGGTTTAATTAAAATCAGGGGCTGGGCCCAGTGGCTCACTCCTATAATCCCAGCACTTTGGGAGGCCAAGGTGGGAGGATCACCTGAGGTCAGGAGTTGAAGACCAGCCTGGCCAACATGGGGAAAACCCCATCTCTACTAAAAATACAAAAAGTAAGGCCAAGCGCTGTAATCCCAGCACTTTGGGAGCCGAGGTGGGCAGATCACCTGAGGTCAGGAGTTCAAGACTAGCCTGACCAACAAAACCCCATCTCTACTAAAAATACAAAATTAGCCGGGCATGGTGGCACATTCCTGTAATCCCAGCTACTCAGTTCTCTAAGGCAGGAGAATCACTTGAACCCAGGAGGCAGAGGTTGAAGTGAGCCAAAATCACAGCACTGAACTCCAGCCTGGGTGACAGAGCAAGACTCTGTCTTTAAAAAAATAATAAAAAAGAAAGAAAAAACAGCTACAGTATGGACAACAGAGTGGAGAAAAAAAGTCAGACATCAGGGAGAGCGGTGATAAAGTATCTGCATTAGTCCACGGCAGAGGTGATACTGGCTTAATCCATTTTTTGCCCTGAGGGTGGAGAGAAACAGTAGCATTTGAAAGTGATTTAATGAAAACAGTAGAAAGGACTGGGAGGAGAAAGGAGGCAGCTTGACTTCCAGCCCCAGGCCTGTCTCCTGGGTGAAGGTAGTGCCATCACCAAGACAGAGGAGGAAGAAGAACCAGATCCAGGGAGGATGGTGCTGAGTCCAGGGATGGTACAAGGAGGATGGGGGCCCTGAAGCATCTCAGCACACACCAAGGTGGACAGCGGATACATGGACCTGGTACTCCCAGATCTGGCCACTTCCACTCACTTGGGAGTTACCAGTGTACAGATGTGAAGCAGACTCAGGGAGAGAACGGGGAGTGGGAAAGAAGGGTACCTGGGTAGGGATGGGGCACCAACATTTAAAAGCTGAGAGAAGGCTAAGAGCTGACCAAGCAGAGATTTTTTGTTTGTTTGAGACAGAGTCTTACTCTGTCATCCAGGCTGGAGTACAGTGGCATGATCTCACCTCACTGCAACCTCCACCTCCCAGGTTCAAGCAATTGTCTGCCTCGGCCTCCCGAGTAGCTAGGATTACAGGTGCCAGCCACCATGCCCACCTCATTTCTTTTTTGTATTTCTAGTAGAAACAGGGTTTCACCATGTTGTCCAGGCTGGCCTTGAACTCCTGACCTCATGATCCACCTGCCTTGGCCTCCCAAGGGACTGAAGATTTTAAACAAACAGTCTTAGAAACAGAATGAGGCTGTTTTACCCAGCGAGCCTGCTGGATGTGAAAGTGAAACTCGGCAGGACTAACAGACCTCCCTGCCCTCAGGAAAGGGGATTTCAACACAGTGGAACGGATGGAAGTTACCAGGGAAAAAAGTATTTCACGTATGAACACCCTGAATTGAAACTCCTCACTAAAACGGCCACATTAAAAAAAAAGAAGTTCCATTTTTAATTGGGAGCTTGATCATATTTCAGCTCTGTCAAGAGGAAAAGAGTAAGGCCAACTGGAAGAGAATGAGGCGGGAATTTGAAAACTCCAAGTGATAGCAGAAGAAAGGCAGAACAAAACGCAAAAGACACCAGGCAGGCAGAGTGGATGAGAGATGGGGGATTTGTGGCAATGCCCTCTACCCACCCATGGGGAGTGTCCCAACAGCTCTTAAGTCTCTGGGTACAGACATGGGGAGGTTAGCTGTGTTCATCCAGGATGGTTCTTTCCTGGACAAGAGATTACAGAGAAGAGGGTATGCGGGGCACGGGTGGCAGGTCCTGATGTGGTGGGACCCAGGTGGGGGGGGAGGGCAGAAAGCCCCGGGGAACAGTGTGGGGCAGGGAGTGCAGGTGACGATCTTGGTGGAGGGAGTCATCGAACACATCATCCTGGGAAAGAGAAGCCCCGTGACTGGAGCAGGGGTCGGCCTCGGTGGTTGCTGTCACGGTGGTGTGGTTGACACGTTCATGTTGCAATGGGGGTTGGAAGATCTGAGACGGAGCAGATGAGGGGTCCATGAACCTGGCCAGTGGGTTCCAACTCAGTATCAAAGTCACCCTAAAAATGGAGTGACGAGCAGGGCCAGGAACCAACTGCCAAAATGTTTGATGAACTCATGGGAGTTAAAGGAAAAGAAATGAGAACGCTGGTGGAGCCCACAAAGAGCAGAGGTTCCCAAGAAAAGGGCAGAGAATGAGGGCTGGGAGGCGTACAAGAAGGATGCCAGCCTTGAGGTGGCAGTGAACAGCGTCCTTTGGAGACAGCAGATTCGTGTTAAGACCAAGAACCGGGAGGAGGCTCTAAAGGAGTCTGGGGACATAGAAGATTTGCTGATCAAACACGGGGGCAGCACCAGAGTGAATGACGGAAGGATTTGGCTGGAATGGAGAAGAGGGGTTTTCGGTTAGGGTCACGGCAAGGAAGGAGAACATCCAGGAAGTGGTGGTGCCGAAGGGAAGCCTTCAATAACAGCATAAGTGGGCCGAGCATGATGGCTCACGTCTATAATCTCAGCACTCTGAGCCCAGGAGATCAAGACCACCCCAGGCAATGTAGGAAAACAAACAAAAAGTTAGCAGGGCATGGTGGTGCATGCTGCAGTTCCAGCTACTCAGGAAGCCTAGGTGGGAGGACCACTTCAGCCCAGGGCTTTAAGGCTGCAGTGAGAAAATGGTTGTGTCACTGCATTCCAGCCTGGGCAACATAGCAGGACCCTGTCTCAGAAAAAAACAAACAAACCCAACAACTATGAAACAAACAAAAGGCACTTATGGTATTTCCTTATTCCATCTGCAGACAGAGAACAGCAGTACCTGAAACTGACAGGAAAGTGACTAGAGGCTAGGCAGGGGTGGCCGGGCTTACCCTCCACGTAGAGCAGCTGGTACTTGATGGAGATCTGAGATCTGCCCCCGGCCTCTGCCCTGCAGTAAACCACGCCCTGGTGCTCAGAATGAGGCTGCAGATACACAAAGCCCCGCTTCATGTCGTAAACAATGTCTGTTCCATTGGCTGGGATCTCCTTGGCTGGGAATTCCCTGTGGAGCGTGACTTTGGCCGACAGCACAGTCACCCGACAAGGAACCACAGCCTGTCTGTCCGGGTTCAAGTAGACAACATCGAAGTAGCTGGGAGAAGGCACAAAGAGTTCTCCTTTCTCTGTAAAGGGAAGACATAGGCTTATTCACTCCGGAGAAACAAAGTAAAAGCACCCCTAAGGATTCTGAATACTCAGAATACTGAGTCCTTAAGAGTAGAAAAGGCTGGGTTTTCGTTTTCTTTTTTTATGCTTTTCATTTTTTGGAAGAATGATTTTACTTCCCTGTCTCCTTAAAGAAAATAGAAAAGGCATCAGTTCAAGCCCAAATGAGGCCCACAGATCATCACCCTGAGGAAGCAAGAACAAAACTGATTCCCTTAAAGTTTAACATGCCCAGCCTTACTTCTTAATATGAAATCAGTGACCACACTAGTTGCTTTAAAAATATATTTACAATCTGGCCGGGTGTGGTGGCACATGCCTGTAATCATAGCACTGTGAGAGGCTGAGGCAGATGGATAGCCTAAGCTCAGGAGTTCAAGACCAGCCTGGGCAACATGGTGAAACCCCGTCTTTACTAAAAATACAAACAAAATCAGTCGAGTGTGGTGACATGCACCTGTAGTCCCAGCTACACGGGAGGCTGAGGCATGAGAACTGCTTGAACCCAGGAGGCGGCAAAGGTTGCAGTGAGCCAAGATCGTGCCACTGCACTCCAGCCTGGGCAACAGAGAAAGACTGTCTCAAAAATAAAAATTGCAATCAGTAGCCTCCATCAACAACAACAAAAAATGTGTTGAAGTTCATTTTAATAATTATATATGTCCCCTGCAAATGTATTGATATCCACTCATGTAAATGACCAATATATTAAAGAAAACGAAGCACACTGGATTTTAGATTTCCAAAAAAAAAATCAAGTTAATAAGCTACACACGACATCCAAATTACAGCTAAACTTAGTATTTAGGAAAGCACTTATTAATGTGATTTTATGATTTGAAGTTTTAAAACCTTAGCAGTTGTAAAACCTTGAAGTCATCTGCTGCTTCTGTGTGGAGAAATCAGCCGCACAGCCATGGTCAGTAACTGCCAGTCAGGAAGCACTTCCCAGCACATCAGAGCTCCCCAGGAGCCCCAACACAGGGACAGTGTCCTCAGCATGTCCTTACACAGCCCAGAGGACCTGGCACCTGTCAAGGTCAGTGGAGGGGAATGGAGTCGGCTTGAAGGAGGAACCCATCAGTCTCAGGTCTGCTCTCGGCTTGGCCAGCGCCTGGCTGGGAATCTTCAGTCAGTCTCATAGATGCCCCTATTTTCTCTGAAATTACTTGGCCTGGTTCTTGAAGCTCAGATGATGGCATTTATATCTTACCAAAATGAGAGAAATGAGGACTGGCTTACCCATTCTGTCCTTAGGACAGGCAAGAAACTCTGGATTGGGCTTTTGAGGGTATTTCTGTTGGTGCTGATAGCTTTTCTTTTTTGGCATAGTTCATTAAATGCTTTGTTTTTCTGTATCATTCAGTGAGGGAATGTTATGCTAACTGCAAAGAGAAATCTTCAGAGCTAGTCAGACTCCAACACTTAATACATGGCTTCTTGTGTTTTCTGTACAACGTTCCTGAAATAAATACTTTTTTCTGGGCTTTCTTCCTCACTCACCTTCTTTGTGTCACCGTTAGATGGTGTTTTAGGTTGGGGGCAGAATTACTGGACACATCATCAAATGTTTCATGAGCCAAGAGTTCTTGGGCTCTAAGTACCACGTTCACTAACATGGAGATCCTCCCTCCTGGCTCTAAGATGAGGGAAGAGTACGTCATGGCTCAGAGTCTCGATGTTTTCCATGGGTTTCCATCAGGCTGGGAGGTCTGTGCTACTTTATGAGAAACTGGCTTTCAGGCTTAGGTAAGGAGCACCTCTGTCAATGTTGTGCCCAACATTCATGTATTCACACAGAGTCCATCTACGTGGCCTTGGAGGCATTATTTAATTTCCTTGTGCTTTAACGTCCTTATGTGTAAAGAGAAGAATCTGGAGTGGAAAATATTAAAGATGTTTTCTTAGCAGCAACACCTTAGGATTTTACAACTGCAAGATATAGAGGCAACTTTTAAGGGTGTGGAGAATAATCTGAATCAGTAAGAAAAGCTGTTAGTTGAATACGTGAACCATGTGAATTTAAGAACACAAAAATATCATCATCTTTCCTTTCTCTTTTTTTTTTGAGATAGGGTCTCACTCTGTCACCCTGGCTATAGTGCAGTGGCACGGTCATGACGTATTGCAGTTTCAACCTCCAGAGCCAAAGTGATCCTCCCACCTCAGCCTCCTGAGTAGCTGGGACTTCAGGCACGTGCCACCATGCCTGTCTATTTTTTTATTTTTTGTCGAGTTCGGGCCTCACTATGTTGCCCAGGCTGGTCTCAAACTCCTGGACTCAAGCAATCCTCCTGCCTTGGCCTCCCAAAGTGCTGGGATTATAGGCATGAGCCAATGTGCCTAGCCTTGCTTCTTATACTATAATACATACTTGGAAATAAGTGATCGCACCAGTTGCTTTAAAAATCTATTTGCAATCCGTCGCTTCCATCAAGAAAAAGTGTTCAAGTTCATTTTAGTAATTACAAATTACACACGTCCCCTGCATATGTATTTATGTCCACTGATCTAGATGGCAAATATATTACTTAAAGAAAACTAAGCACATGGGATTTTAGATTTTGAAAAATCAAGTTAACAAGCTATAAACTAAATCGAAATGACAGCAAATTCAATGGTTAGAAAAGTACTTTTTTTTTTTTTTTTGAGACAGTCTCACTCCATTACCCAGGCTGGAGTGCAGTGGTGCAACCTCAGCTCACTGTAATCTCAGCTCACTGCCTCCTGGGTGTAAGCGATTCTTCTGCCTCAGCCTCCCAAAAGTAGCTGGAATTACAGGTGCATACCACCATGACCAGCTAATTTTTGTATTTTTAGTAGAGATGGGGTTTCGCCATGTTGGTCAGGCTGGTCTCGAACTCCTGACCTCAAGTGATCCGCCTGCCTCAGCTTCCCAAAGTGCTGGGGGATTACAGGTGTGAGCCACTGCACTCGGCCAGGAAAGTACTTATTAATGTGGCTTCCTACATATAAAAATTAGAGCCCCAGCCTTTTACTATAAGAAAGCCATAGGCCGGGCACAGTGGCGCATGCCTGTAATCCCAACACTTTGGGAGGCCGAGGTGGGCAGATCACGAGGTCAGGAGTTTGAGACCGGCCTGGCCAACGTGGCAAAACCCCATCTCTACTAGAAATACAAGAATTGGCCAGGTGTCGAGGCATGTGCCTGTAATCCCAGCTACTTGGGAGGCTGAGGCAGGAGAATCGTTTGAACCTGGGAGGCAGAGGCTGCAGTGAGCCGAGATTGTGCCATTGCACTCTAGCCTGGCAGCAACCAGAGCACTAATCTCAGCTCACTGCAACTGCCACCTCCCAGATTCAGGTGATTCTCCTGCCTCTGCCTCCTGAGTAGCTGGGACTACAGGTGCATACTACCATGCCCACCTAATTTTTGTATTTTTGTAGAGATGGGATTTCTCCATGTTGGCCAGGCTGGTCTTGAACTCCTGACCTCAAGTGATCCACTCGCCTCAGCCTCCCAACGTGCTGGGATTATAGGTGTGAGCCACTGTGCTTGGCCTAGGGTGAGATTATAGGTGTGAGCCACTGCACCCAGCTGAGAGCCCGTAATATTAACAGGACATTCTGCCCGAGCTAAGCCTTCAGTTCAAAACCTCAACCGATATTTTGGGAAGACACAACAGTGCTAATCTTGGCAAGAATCTTTATTCTGCAACTTAAGTTATGGAATCGGTCCTTGTCTGGAATAACAGACTATTACACATCTTAGTTGGTTGCCTTTTCCACTGTTGCTTCACAGCATGGTATAACACGAAGGGCACATGGACCATCTTGTGTAGCAAGTTCCAAAATGAAGATCCAAAGAGAATGCCTATGAACAATTACTAGCAATTCCCCTGACAACACCAGTTACGTTAGGTAGAATCTGACTATCAGTCCATCCTTCACCTTGTCCTAGAAAAGGTTCGAGGCAGTAGGATCACTTGATCCTGCATCAGAAAAACAGGTATGACTCCTTACTGTGCCACTACAAGTCCTGGAACATTGAGTCTCAGCATGAGCATTAGTATTTCTAGTATTTTGGAGATAATAAAATAGCTTTTCCTAATTTTCCAGGGATAAAACTGATAGAGGTAGGAGGCAGAGAACTCTCCTAAACAGATAAGGGAGGGTACTTAGAGAAACTCCAAAGCACCAAGGTCATGCACATGCCTAAACATGCCCCCAATGAAAAATTCCATCCCTTCACACATGCTCAGTAAGGGAAATAGATCAATGCAGAGTGATTCAGATTAAGGACCTGCATGCAGTTGCTGAAAGGACAGGGTGGAGCTGCCAGGACTTCATGCCTTTTACAAACAGGGAATCCAGACCTATCAGGGGAACATAGAAGCCCTTGTATTCAACTGTGTAGAGGGCAGCCTTTTCGAGAGCTTTCCTTTTTGTTCAATCAATTCTATTCCACTCACTCTTTGGGCGTCTGTGTGCCTAAGTTTTCCTGATCATGAGACAAGAACTGGGATCCAGCTGAACTATGGAGCAAAAAATCTGCATCAAAATGAGATACATGTGCTTTCAGAATTGCAGCATATCCTACTAATGCATCTTCTTGTCAGAGAGGAGCTATTTGGCCAGAAAAGCACAAATACATGAGATTGTACTAAAGCATTCTTTTTTTTTTTTTTGAGACGGAGTTTTGCTGTTGTTACCCAGACTGGAGTGCAATGGCACAATCTCGGCTCACTGCAACCTCCGCCTCCTGGGTTCAAGCAATTCTCCTGCCTCAGCCTCCTGAGTAGCTGGGACTACAGGCATGCACCACCATGCCCAGCCAATTTTTGTATTTTTAGTAGAGATGGGGTTTCACCTTGTTGACCGGGATGGTCTTGATCTCTTGACCTCATGATCCACCGGCCTCGGCCTCCCAAAGTGCTGGGATTATAGGCATGAGCCACCGTGCCCAGCCACTAAAGCATTCTTTAATGGTAAGGGCATAACATCATTTGGGTCATATGTCTATGTCTATGTCTAGGTCTATTTAGGTCTAGATCTGAAAGGTAGATGGATTCAGGGCATAGAGAAATCTTATGAAAGCCCCTGCCCAGGCCTAAGAGAGGATTCTGTATTCACCTGAAATGTCTTGGACAACAACAAGACTGGGGTGGATTTTTAAGACTCCAGAAAGCTATTACTGATCTCTGAACCTTGTTGGAGAACTTCACCCCCTAAACTTCTGAACTTAGAGAGCGACATTGAAAAAAGAGGCTGAGTAGTTATTCTGCAACACCTGTTTCTCAAAATACAAACTCCACCTTCCAAAAACCTACTTTGCACTGCAGAGTAGAGTTCTCCACTCTGACCTGAACGTTTTCAGGCAGCCCACTTAAGCTCAGGGACTGGAGACCCAAGAGCCACAGTCTTTGGGAATCTTGTCCCCAAAATCTCAGCTCATAGTATTCATAGGAACAAATGGGGCTGAGCACGGTGGCTCACACCTGTAACTTCAGCACTATGGGAGATCAAAGCGGGAGGACTGAGCTCAAGAGTTTGACACCAGCCTGGGCAACATAGTGAGACCTCATTTTTTTACTGAAAATTAAAAAATAAAATACTAAAAAGGACAAATGAGAGGAGGTCTTTAGCAAAGTATCCCACAATTACGGCGTTTCCAGAAAGGAGATGGTCATAGGTTCTGAAAACATGATGAAAGTCAACAGCAGCACTGTCCAACAGAACTTTCTGAGATAAAGGAAACGTCTCTCTCTGTGCTCTCTAGCATAATAGCTGTTAGCCATATGCCACAATCAAGCACTTGAAATGTGGCAAGCGCACTGAGAAACTGTTTTTAATTTTATTTCATTTTAATTAATTTTCAATTAAATTTAAGTAGCTCTATGTGTCTAGGGTTACCATATTGGGGAGGGCAGGGCCAGACCCTGGAACCAAACGGTTTGTGTTGAAATCCTGTTACCACCGCTTACTTGCTGTGTGATGTTAAGGACTTACTTAATCTCTCTAAACCTCAACTTTCCCATCTGAATAAAAATAGGAATGATATTAGTATTTGCCCTGAAGGGTTATGGCAAGACTTACATGAAATAACTGATGTAAAACATTTAGCCCAGAGCCTGGCAAACAGGGAGTGCTCTGATTGTCATTATTTGCTATTCAGCATGCAGTGGGGGAGCCTTCAGTTCTCAGCAAATATTTTACCTGTAAAAAAGATGTAGGTGGAGCCCGTTTTGGCCTCGTCCTTCCTGCAGATGTACCCACTGCAGAGCTGCCCCCAGCAGCTGAATTCACCTGTGTCAGCCGAGGTGGAGTTGACCAGCGTCAACTGGCTGTAGCGCTCATTCTGCTTGACACTGGGAACAAAAGAGACATGAACTCAAAACAGGTCAGACCTGGGCTGGGGCCTTCCAGCTGTCGCGCTTGGCATCACTATTCTCTGGGCAGACTTGCCCCAACCGCCCTCCACTGTCACAAAGTAAAATAAGAATGTGTTTGGCTGGGTGCAGGGGCTCATGCCTAAAAATCCCAGTACTTTGAGAGACCAAGACAGGAGAAAAACTTGAGGCCAGGAGTTTGAGACCAAACTGGACAACACAGCAAGACCCGATTTTTACAAAAATTAAACAATTAGCCTGGCACGATGGCTCACTCCTGTAGTCCTAGCCACTTGGTAGGCTGAGGCAGGAAGACTGCTTGAGTCCAGGAGTTTGAGATTCCAGTGAGTCATGATCATGTCAACGCACTTCAGCCAGGGTGACAAGACCCCGTCTCTAAAAAATAAAAATAAAGAGTGTGTTTCTGATAAATGGGTGTCAGGGTAGGCAGAGATAAAAGCCTTTCCTCAAAGGAAATAATCAACGTCAAAGAGAATTCCTCTTCTTGGAGAACATAATTGTCCTCAGACCTGGGGTTTCCTTAAGTAAAATCATTGGTGCAATAGCTATGCAGCCTCAGAAGCTCAGCCAGAAAGCCTTGGGCTGGTGCTCTGCTTTCAGCCTGCATCTCATGAATTAAATTTATACACAGTCAACATGAATGAAAGCACACAGCATTATCCAATATCCAAAATCCCTTTCATCAATAAAGATAAGTCTCGGAATTAAAGCTTGGAATCTTAGATATGCTGCATTATCATGTTAAAACCAAACACTTTCTTTTAAGAAAAAAAATACATTGGCTGATAAGATCCTGAAGCCCAAAGCATGCATGCAGCCCGCTTCTAATCAAGTATTTAAAGCCTTTGGGCATTTGGACTTTTCCTCTGACCTCACTATTATTTTTACTTTGATTTTCTTCCTTATCTCTTGTATTTTGTATCTTGTTGCATGGCAAATATATTTGCAAACCCCTTCAGTTTCTTTCTGGAGAGAGGCATACATCTTTATTATTAAACACTAGCATCAGCCAATTTAATGGTAATTAATTTTATTATATTGTGGCAGAAATCCAGATGTATCAGATGTATCATTCTCACACTGGAGGTTCCCCTGAGGCTGAGAGCCTCAGCACTGGGGGGTACACCAAAATAAGCAGTTTTAATCTGGGGACTCATCTCAACTATCCAAACGCTTCACTCCTCTGAGATCCACATACTTTTATGATGCAGTTGAGATTCCCTAGTTTATCTTGCAGCAATATCAACACAGTGACCAGTTTACATTTAGCATAGGGCAAAATGTCAGGTCAGTTGGTCCCGAAGGCAGCCCTGTTCTCATTCACTGCGGAAAAGCTTGTTTTGTCCACCAGCTCTGCCAAGTGGTGCTTCTGTACTCCCACTCCATCAACTGCCCCCTTTACCCTGAACGGAAAGCTCTCCTCCTTCAGGAAGCTTCTAATTAGAATCGACTCTCAGGACTCTCCCCACTTTTTCCTGACATAATTGACTTCCTTGTTCTCTACCCCTCAGATACCCCTGGCTTCCTGTCATTACACTAGATGGTGCAAGCTTCGAGGCAGGGACTGAGCTGTATTTGTTTTATATTCTCTAAGCAACAAATCTGTGCAGAGTACACAGTAAGGACTCCCTAAATATGAATGAATCGAGTTGAACCAGTGATGGAAAAGGAAAGAAACTGGAGAGGCAGGCTTCTAGCTCCCTATTTTGCAGAGGGGGAAACTGAGTCTCAGATAGCTGAAGTGGTTTCCCTGAAACCCACAGCTTGTGAACCAATTGTGAGGAAGTCTTCCTTAAGTCAATTAAGTATGTTCTGAATACCACTCATCAGATAAGACAAGGTATACAAAACCCTTCGAGCAATGCCTGGTTCACTGAATTATCCCAATTATATCTTAATTACAGGTAAGTAATAGTAATCATGAATATTTCTATAGCAATGATAAACAGAACACATGCAGCATTGGGGATAATTAGCACAGCAAATGGAAAATGGTGAACCCAGGTCAAATGTGGTGGCTCATGTCTGTAATCTCAATACTTTGGGAGGTTGAGGCAGGAGTATGGCTTAGAGCTTAGGAGTTCACAATACAGCAAACCCCGTAGCTACGAAAAATTAAACATTAGCCAGGCATGGTAGTATACATGTAGTCCTAGCTACTCAGGAGGCTGATATGGGAGGATCTCTTGAGCTCAGAGGTTAAGGCTACAATGAGCTATGATCCCACCACTGTAGTTCCAGCCTAGGTGACAGAGCAAAACCTGTCTCAAAAAAAAAAAAATTGAAAAGGTCAATGCTAGTTTTAAGGATGAAGCTAGATTTCAGCAGATAAAAAAAGAAATTAGAAAAGGGAAGGGAAAATGGAGGCGGTATTCTCCCCATGTGGACAAGTGTCTGGCCACCTCCTGTAGAGCTCAGAACCAGGGTACAGGATCAGCAGGCCATCAGTATATTCACTGCACATCTTCTCTGACCCCAGCATTTGCTAGCATTGTAGCGATCGAAAGTAAAAGATGCCATGGGAACTCCAAAGAGATCGAAAGTATAAGATGCCTAATTACTGGGAAAGTAATTAGGCCTGTGAAAAATCAACCCTTGGGAATAACCCCGGCACCAGTGTGCAGTCTGCATGCTGTATCTTTAGTAGGTTTGTGGGTGGAAGGAAGGAAACGCACTGGAAAACAGTTTTGCATTTTTCCACCCCCTCTTCTATGCAAACAATATAAAACAGGAAACGAATTATTTAGTGGGATTAGTGTTTAAATGCCTGGATTTAAAATGTCCATTTCTACCAATGGTATCTCATCGTCTAGGCAGTGGGTTACACAAGGGGTTGGAAGTAACGAAGGCCTCTGGAGGCCAAGTCTGTGTCATAAAATGGAGACGAGGATTCCCTGAGCCCTTCAGAGCCACTGTCTATAGAGAGACGCTTCATCAAAGACCCTTTCTGTGTAACCACTGAACACCACCCCCAGCGATGGAAGAAGTGGAGAATGGGGAGATTAAGTGGAGCTAAAAGAAGGTGTCATGACCAACTGCCAGGAAAAGGTGTCCTAAGAGAAGTAACATTCACACCAACAGGAGGCAGCTCTGAACACACCAACACATCAGCTCACCTCTGGCCTTTCTTTCTAAACTAGGAGTTCTAGTCCTGACCCACAGAGATCTCAGTGACGGCCAAGTCCATATTTCCAAATCGATGTGTTCAAATTTTAAGACCCTGTGTATGTGTGTGTATGTCTTCCAACATGCTTCCCTGGCCTTTACACACAGAATCTTGCTTCCATCAGTGGAAGCTTGAAGCTTCCTGCATTCAGCCCAGCCTGCTCTCTCCTGGGGGTGGCCTAAGTCGTGAGAGGGTGCAGGGGAGGGAGCTGACATCCCTCAGATGTAGGGACCTGCGCATCTTACCTGGGGCAGTGGCCAGGTAATAGTAGTGGGGTCCACTTTCTGTCCATCCCCGCCAAGACTCTGCAAGCCAAGGGCAGGGGGTGAGCCCTGAATTACAAGATAATGATTCATTGGTATTGTACCCATACATACTTAACAGGTACAAAATAAATGGGAGGCACTGGAGAGGACAGGAGGGGTGCAGTGATGTCTAGAGAGGTCCCTGCTTGCGAGTTCTTCTGTACAACATGCCATGAGAACTCCAAAGAGAGGGACCAGCAAGTCTCTAGGCCGAGAGGGTCTTGGTGGAAAGGAAGGATTTCAACATGCACAAATCAAGGGCATGCATTCCAAGGGAAGGAGATCTCCAGAGAGAGAAAAAAGGGCAGGTTTGTGCATAACAAAGAGATGTCTGTCTGGACCACAGGTTGGTTGAAGACCATGGTGACAGGCATAACATCATGGACTTTGGAACTCTACTGACCAGATCCAAATCCCAGCTTCACCATGACCTTCAGAGTCCTTAGCTAGGGCTCGTCTTCCACAATCTAGCTTCACCTACTCTTCAGACTTGTAGTAACAATGATGCTGATGCTTATGGAGGGCAGGCATGCTGCTAAGCCCTTTAAACAGCGTCAGGACTTACAGCAGCATCTGCACAGAGAAATGCTCAACACATTTTATTTTATTTTATTATTACTTTTTTAGAGATAAGGTCTTGCTCTCTGTTGTCCGGCTTTGAGTACAGCGGTGAAATCATACCTCACTGCAGCCTCAAACTCCTAGGCTTGAGGGCTCCTCCCACTTCGTCCTCCTGAGTAGCTCGGACTACAGGTATGTACCACCACACCTGGATAATTTTTCAGATTTTTTGTAGAGACAGGGTCTTGCTGTGTTGCCCAGGCTAGTTTTGAGTTCCTGGCCTTAAGCAATCTCCCACCACAGCCTTCCAAAGTGCTGGGATTACAGGCATGAGCCACCACACCCAGCCTCAATACATTTTAGAAATTGTCATTACCACGGTCCCCCAGTTCTCATAACCACGTTAGGATGGCAGTACTGTTTTTCCCTGTTACTGATGAGGGCACTGAAACAGAGAGAAGCAACTTGTCCGAGTTACTCAGCTAGTAAGTGGGAGAGCATCTAATCTAGTGTGACACAAACTCAGGTTACAAACATTTAGAAATGAAGAGGGGGCACGGATTTTCATCCTACAGAAATGAAATGAAGTAAAGCAATTTTGACTGAGCGATGGTATCTTTAAAGACCTTGTAAAATCTGCTAAATATAACCCCACACACACACGCACACACACACACACTCTCTCTCTCACACTCACACTCTCACACACACACTCCTATATCACAAACACGAACATGGTAGATCCAGTTAAATGAGCTCAGAATTCTGATTTCCTTAGTAGAAACGGTACACTATTTTCTGTTAAGTCAACACTAACCCATCCAGTAATTAAAGGAAACAAGAACAGGACACCCATCACTTATGAAGCATCTACTTCGTAATTGGCAATACCCAAGGGAGACTTTACTTTTTCTCACTCCCAAGGG